GGAAGTAGGATTGCCCAACCTTCCTTCCGAGGAGTGGCTGGTGGGTTTGAACCGCCAGCCGTCTGGTTAGCAGGCAAGTGTCTTAGCCACTACCAGAGCTCCCAATGTCTTCTTTAGACATCTCAACTCTGTAACTTCATGGCCTGTTTATTCTGAACCCAAAAATGACTTGAGGAGGTAGGTGAAATGATAGCAACAGAACTTTACCCCAAGTCACCAAGTTAAGACAAGGGAGCTCCTGGATACTGGGACAGTGGCACTTCCAGCCCCTACCCCTAGGGAAGAAATTTTCTCTTTAGATGGCACAGCTTGGGAATTTTAGGAGCTCTGGGGTGGGAAGGCAAGGTTGACCTGGGATAAGGCTGACACATTCCCTACTCCAGCTGTGGCCAGGAAAACAGTTTCCCTGACATTTCCAGGGCATCTATAAAGTGCCATTAGGCAAGCTATATGAGTTGAGAAAGGACTGACAGAGGGCTGTCCTGTGGCAGAATGAGTCAAGAGGACAATGGCCCCAATTCCTGACTCTCTGGACTGGCTGGCTACATACTGCTCTGCTCAGAATGATCTGCCCTGCACCCTGCTAGCCTCTACTTCCCACACATACACATGGAAGGCAGCTGGGAGCCTCCCCTCATCCTCACTGCCTTCCATCCTGTGCCTGCCCCACCCCTCCTCTGCTGCCCAGGGCCAGGTCCTCAGGCCAGTATTGGTCTTCCATGTACTGCTCCATGTCCGTGCTGCTGTCAGGTTCTTTGTCCTCAGGGTGGGCCCAGGGACTGCTGGCCTCCTGCTGCTCCCACTGCACCTCCACCAGCCGGTAGAGCTCCATGGCTGTCATGGCATCTTCCACTGACGAGTGCCCACATTGGCCCACCTGGGAATAGAGGCAACACCTCACTGCAGACAATCCCAGGTGAGAAAAGCCCCTGCTGTTCCAGGAAGCAAGGTCTGCCTCCTTGGGCTTTGTACAGACCTGAGAGCACACATCCTCACAAGAGGGTGCAGAGCTTGCTATGGTGGAAGGGCATGGGTTTAGAGTCATACAGAAAGGAGTTTGAATCTCAGCCATACCATAAGCTATCTAACATCTCCAAGTCTCAGTTTCCTCAACTGTAAAACACAATAAAAATCTTCTACTTTAAAGACTTTTAGAAATACCAAAGTAATGTAGGTCAACTTGGTTAGGCTATGGTGCCTGGCTGTTTAGATGTTGTAGTGATGGTACTTACATGACTAACATTTAAGTCAGCTGGTCTTAAGCAGATTAGCCTCTAAAACAAAGGTGGGCCTCCTCCAATCAACTGAAAGCCGTTAAGTGCAAAAACTGAGGTTTCCCCAAAGGAAAGAGACATCCTGCTGGAATTTCCAGCACGCTGTCTCACCTCCAAATTTTTGATGCAAGACTGCTTCCAGCCTATTGCCTGACCTGTGGATTTTGAACTTATCAGCCCCTACAATTGCATGAGCCAGTTCCTTAAAATAAACCTCTCTGTATGTATCTAGGGAGCTCTAACAGCGTAGTGCCTAAGGCATTTGACTGCTAACCAGAAGTCTGGCGGTTCAAACCCACCAGCCACTCATCGGAAGAAAGGCTGGGCAATCTACTTCTGTAATGATACCAGTTCGAAACCCAAGTAGAGGTCGCTATGAGTCAGGTCCGATTCAACGGCATATAACAACACATGTATCTATTCTACTGGTTCTGATTTCTAGAAAACATGGACTAAGACAGTATGTGAACTATAGTAGAAGCAACAGTTTCTAGTTCCCTGGGCCTGATGGCTTCCATCTTGGGCACAAATGCAGGGACAGAGTGAGGAGCTGGGTGGGGGACAGATCTGGAAGGGATCAACCTGGAAGAATGAGGTTGCTATAATACATACTGGGGAGTATAGTGGATAGAGAACCCTTGGGGTTGCCTACACAGTGGGAGACCTGTGCTTCATGCCAAGTGCACCTGGACAGGGGAAGGAAGAATGAAGAATGATACGAAGTTAGAGGTATACCACAAAGCCTTGGCCATTGCTGCCAGGCTGTCCTTCCCACTCCCTCCCAACCATTCACACATCACACACCTGGATTTTCTTGTGCAGCAGCTGCAGAGCCAGGTCCTTCAGGGAGACCCGAGCCCGGGAGTGGAGACTAGGCGGGCTGAGGAGGCTTGGGACATAAGTTGTATCACGGGTCTGGCTCCGAGGGTGGACGTACTTGAGGGCGCGGAAGTCATTGTGCAGTGCATGGCCCACCACCACCTTGCCCTTCAGGAGCTTAAGGATCTGTGGCGGTAAAAGGAGGAGCCAGGCGGGCCAGACTGTCAGGCTAGCATGGGGTGGGGACTGATCCTGAGTTCCCTGACCAGTTGGTACCCAAGTCTCTCCAGAAGGAGGCAGTTTATTTTAGGGAGTGGTGAGACATGAGCTCCACCATTAAACCAAGCTGCCCTGAGTCTGAATCCAGGCCCTTCTATGTACTAGCTGTATAATCAGGGCAGACTCAAGTTCTCTGCACTTTAGTTTCTATCTCTGTAAAAAGAGAAAGCCCCCAACTGCATGCCCTGGGGTGGAGTGGGAATCAGAGGAGGTCACAGACAGCTAGGTTTTCTACTTAGCTAGAAGAAGAAGTAGCTCTTCTACTTCTATACAGACAGCTACTCTTCAGCCTCTCTTTCAGCCTGGAGGACTTCACCTCCCACCGCACCCAATGCTTCACCCCACTCCTATCATGTTGCAGGTCTTGGCTGAACATCACCTCCTCAGAAGCCCTTTCCATGACTCTACCTGCCCCTCTCAATTAGGAACTCCACTGCTCTATCTCAGTATCCTGCTCTTTCCTTCAAGGGATTCATCCCATTTTCTAATTACACACCTAGCTCTCAGGATGATCTACTTTTTAGCCCTCACTGTAAACTCTTGAGTATAGGGACCATATTTCACTTGACTTAGTGAGGTCCCAATGAAAGCTCAGCACCCAGCCAGTAACCAATAAAGGCCTGCTGGGTCAAACCAACAGATCTGTGCCTGGCACTAGGAAACAGACTATAAATGTACAGCTCTAACGGTTGGTACATGACTATGAACCAAAAGTTGGTGGTTTGAACACACTCAGTGGTACCATGGAGGAAAGGCTTGAAGATCTCCTTCCAGAAGACTGAAAACCTTATGGAGCAGAGTTCTACTCTGACACATGTAGGGTCACTATGAGTAGAAATCAACAGGTAACAGTATTAACAGACACAGTCCCGTCTTCAGGTTCCTTCCCTTCGGCCTCCCCCTCTGCTGTACACAGACTCCCACATCGTCCTGTAACCTGTTCTCCTGCTCATTTCGGGCCTTCTGCACACATGTTCCTCTCCTCCCTGCTTGGGGCCCTCTTCTGACTCCAGGGAGGCCATGTTTGACCTGCCAGCATCAACCTCCCCAAGCTCTCTCTGCTAGGCTCAGGCTCTCCTTATCGCCAGCCACTGGCCTCCCACACTCTGCTGGCGAAATGATTTACTGCCAAACCTAGAGTTGACAGCTGATAGAAGAAAGCCAAAAAACAAACTCAAGGCTGTCGGGTTGATTCCAACTCATAGTGACCTCTCCTTGGGTTTCCGAAGCGGTATCTCTATGGAAGTAGATCACCCACTCTTCCTTCCGAGGAGTGGCTGGTGGATTTGAACCTCTAGCCTTCTGGTTAGCAGTCAAATGCCTTAGGCACTACGCCACCAGAGCCTGCATTTAAGACTTCAGTGGCTCTGCTCTTGAGAGCTTTACTACCTGGGTCAACAGAAGGGATCAATGGGCTACAGGATTCACCACAGGTTTCCCTCTCTATTGTATCTATTCCTGATTAGCTTGCTTGATAAATAACCTTCAAATTTTCTTAAAGAATTCTTGGAACTGTTACATGGAAAATGAATTTGCTCTGTAAACTTTCATCCAAATAATAAAAATTTTACAATAAAAATTTTTAAAGAATATAAAGAAATGCTTGGGACATAATGGAAATGTAAAACACCAGATGATATATACCAGTATTCCCCAAACTTACCTACAGTCTAAAAGCCTTGTTAAAAAAGTCAGTTCCACTGTGGCACTTGTTTTGAAAATGCATATCTTTTTAGAACACAATTTGGGAATACTACAAATTTCACCTTTGCTTATGCAAAATCTCACCTTTGAGAAACATTAGGTGAATGGAGAAAAACTGCACCCAGCTGACCTGAGCCATGTGGGAATAACACAAAATGCACACACCTCAAACACCTACCAGGGACCTCAGGTCATCAGGCATGTCATAAGCCACATCAATCTGGTGTTACCGCTTTCCTTCTGATTTCAGAAAACTCTCCTTCCACTACTTCTTAATAGCTTCCAACCTTTTTGCTAGCAGCCTGCCCCCCAACTCAGGGACTTCTATGGGCAGACAGAGTCAGGGTTTTTATTTGTCCTGTTCTATAGTGAAGTAACCTAATGTTTGGAAAAGTAACCTCCCCAAGTTTTCTCAGCCCTCAATGGCAAAGTGGGACTCAAACCCAGGGCCCCTCTTATGACTCAAACCAGCCACCAACCTGCTCAGGGAAGGGCCTAGTCAACCCTGTCCTCACCTCTTTTTGGGCCACCTGGAAGGGGATGGCCTTGTGCATATGCTGCCAAGTGATGCCGCTCCAGCGGGTACGGTAGTCCACAATGGGCATCTCAGGCCGGATGTACTTATCATACAGCACATTGCCATGGTAACTCACAACAGAGCAGCGGGCCAGCTCGCTCACCCGCCCACAGGGCCCAGTGCCCACCATCTCACAATCAATGGCCACGAACTTGCTAGGCAAGGGACCGGTGACACATCTTGGGGCCGGCTTTCTGCTACATGATGTACCGCCAGATTCAGCCCGAGGACGAGGCTTCCCACTGCTGGTGGCTTTAGTGCCTGGTGGTGTCTCTGACGGCATGGATGCTGGGGAGGACCGTGGCTCGGGAGGCATGCTCAGCAGCCCCTCCTCCTGCAACAAGGCCTTCCGGGCCATAAATCGCTGGTGCTGCCGGCTTCTCCTCTTGTGCCTTCTCCGAAGCAGCACATCCTTGGCATTCAGGTTGGTGAGGGGAGGGCACAGGCACTGGGCAGATTCAAGGGCTTCTCGGGGCACCATCCCAGCCTGCTCCTGGCTCTGGGCGAGGGAATCCTGGGGGATTATCGTTCAGTAGGGCAGCACCCTAGGGAAAGAACACACAGGCCAAAGGGCTGGGTGAGGAACGTGCAAGCCAGCCAAGTCCTTCATCCCTGCAGTGCTTCCCTTCTGGGCTGCCCTATACTTTACCTCTTGGCTCCTAGACAAGAAAACGACCTATTTTTAATAATCGCACTTCTACAGTAAATATCATATGCAAAGCACTGTTCTAAGTACTTTGCTGGAATCACCCATTCAATCTTACCAATGATGCTAATAAAGTATTATTATTATTATCATCCTCAATTCACAGGTAAGAAAACCAAGGATTTAGAGAGAAAGTAACTCATCCAATTAACAAGAGACAAAACCTGATATGACCCCAGGCAGTCCAAAGCCCGAGCTCTCAACCTCCAAGCCATGCCTCACCTCCAGCAATGTTAGCATGAAAAATTCTGAGAGATATATGGTTATGGGAAAACAAAGTTAAAGAAACAGTAAGCATATAATCTCATTAAGAAAAAAACTTAGGAAATGTGAAGGCACAGATCCCTAGCAGATCCTGAAGAACAATTTTACAAGAAGATAAAAGTTGTACTTTTGGTCCATGTTAACCAAAGAAGGTAATTCATTTAAATGACTTTGTAACCCATTAATCATAACAGATTCTACAACATTTGAAAATATTGGGTCTGTTCTTTAGTCACCACTGTCTATTTGGTAAACCCATTCTTTTAAAAAAGAAAAAACTCCCATCGGTAGAGTCAGCAGAGTTCTGTGGTTCACTCCCACTGTGATTCCAAGCTCTGTATCCCTGAAAGCCAAGTTAGGAAGAGATGCACATACTCAGTTCTGGCACACCACTGCCTACAGGAAATATTTGACATTCATGAGTTTGCAAACCCATGCAATAAGGCTTCTACCCTCCAAACAGCTTGGAAAGCCTATCTCATTTGCTATGGTAAATCTGCCAGGTCATTTTTAATAGACCAGAAAACCAGGGCTTTGAAGTCAGGCAAAGCAGGGTTTAACTCAGCTCTAAACCGTTATATGCTCAGTTCCTGGTGTGTAAAAAGGGCCTTTACCTCCCTTCTCATCTAAAGATGAAACACAATATAATACACACACTAGGATCTGCATATATTATATATAGTAGGGACACAATTACCATATGCTCCTTTCCCCAAGAGGTTTCCACTCTCACCCACAGTTGGTAACCAGCTTTCCCCAGGCCAGTGCAGTTCCCTAGACTCACTGCCCTCCTACCCACACAAGGCCCTCCTGCCTTGCTTCCTACTTGGATTGGCTTCCCTTTCTGACATGCCTGCTGTTCTGCATGCCTGGGTAAGCGGTTCTGGAACAACCCTTTTATCTAATGTCACTCTGATGCTCTCTGGGTTCCCCCAGCTCTGTTATAAGATGCTGGGCACAGAGTTACTATGAAGAATCCTGGACTCCAAGAAGTTCAGTCTAACTGCAAAAATGTATTAAGAAATGAATTAAGAAATGCTGGGAAGCAGGCATGGAGCTTAAAGGATTGGGTGGTATGGTTAGAGGGATTGGGCTGCTAACCTAAAGCTTGGCAGTTCAAACCCAACAGCTGCTCTGCAGGAGGAAAATAGTCTTCCATAAAGATTTACAGCCTTGGAAACCCTTTGGGGCAACTGGACTCTGTCCTATAGGGTTGCTACGAGTTGGGATTGACTTGAGGGCAACGGGTTTGATTTCATTTGGGAAACAGAACAGATTAAGGAAGACAGGATCACAACTTTATAGGGAGAGGTGTGAAGATAAGAACATGAAGATTAGGAGAAATGGCAAAGAGGTAGGATGTACGGTGAGGTGCCAGGATTTGGTGACCAGATGGGCGCAGGGTAATGTCAGTGTTTGCATGAGAAGGGCTCTGGCACCCTAGGCCAGGGTGAGACACAGTGACCTATCCTGACTCATCCACTCTGCTTGCTCAGCCCTTCCCCAAGAAGCCTTCTCCCTTTTAAAAGGCCTCTAAATTTGAAAACTTATTCACAGCACTGAGTCACATTTTAGAGCTGACAAATACAGAATATAATTTGCCTCCGCCCAACAATGGGAAGAACAAGACTAAACCTAATAACTGACTTCTGTCGGGGAGATATATACATAGTCATGAGTTGCCAAACATCCACGGTTAAGTTCTGTGAAATAGAACGTTATGTGATTTAGACATAGCAGGAACATGCCTAAATAATAAGCAATAGAATTCACTGATTTTGCACTTTTGTGTTGTTTAATCTTTTGTTTCACTTTGAAATAGATACTTCTCCTTTGCCTCTTGCTGCTACTGCGTTTGGGAGAAATGATGCACTTCAAGATGAGTAATTTTGGGAAATGCATGATAAACAAGGTTGGATGCTGCTGCCTGAGTTGAAGCATATGGGGTTATACAGCAAACTTTTTATTTGTAAGGAAAGTTTACATTAAAATAACAATTTAAGTACAGTACCATTTATTATGACTATCAAGACATACGTATTATAGGTTATATGTACTGTACCATTATACACCTGGCAGCACAATTGCTTTGTATACGAGAGACATGAAGTGCACATGTTGCATCTTCTTCACTACTCTCCATTAAGAATTTCCAAACTCTATTATAACCTAATAGCCCAATGGACATACATATATGGTCCTGATGCATGACTGCATACATATTTTCCTTTCCCTTCTCTGAGAGGCCTCATAAGGAAGATTGGGCAATCTACTTCCCTAGAGATATCGCCTTGGAAACCCAAGGAGGGGTTGCTGTGAGTCGAATACACTCGATGGGAGTGAGTTTTCATTTTCTCTGAGGCGTTGAGGGCTCTGTAGGTCAGGAGCTGAGGCCAAAACTCAAGTTGGTGGCCTTCCTTGCCAGCAGGGTGTCAAGACCAGAAATAAAGGTTTCCTGAGGAAAGGTTTCTGTGGCCTTGTGTTAAGTGATGAAGGTTGCCATTTCTATATGCCTAGACACTAGACTGCTTATCAGAAGGCTGGCGGTTCAAACCCACCAGCCACTCCTCGGAAGGAAGATGGGGCAATCTACTTCTGTAGTGATACTGCCTCGGAAACCCAAGGAGGGGTCGCTATGAGTCGGGCCTGACTCGACGGTACATAACAACATCAACAGACCTTGCCGACAAATGTCACAACCAAAAGTTATCATATGAGGCTGTAAAGACGTTTCTCTCAGACATCACAACTGTTTCAGCAAGGGCAAATAAAATCTCTCTGCCCAGCCGAACCCCGCACTCTGGATATCAAGAGCCACTGGGTCTCAGGACAGGGATGCCGTGCCCAAAGGGAAAGATTCCAGCAGGAGAGTTCACGATCAAAGGCTCCAAAATACCAAAATCACCAGTGTGGTTTCGGGGCTACCAACCTGGTGGCTGATGAGAAAGGCAGTTGTAGATCATTCTCTGATACTCGACAGCCTGATGAACTGGGGCCCAAACCCTTCCCCATCATCTGAGGGGCTTTTGAACTAAGTTAAGGGCTTCCCCAATGCAGTTAATTATTAGAAACAATTAGGACGCTCTTCTAAATGCCAGACTCCACCCCCTACACCTTCTGAACTGACTTAAAGAAAAAAAAAAAAAGGCCTGAGAACCTGTGTTTTAAAACTAGGGCTGGAGTGACCTCGAATCCCAAATTGGGTAATCGCCCAAATTTGAGACAACCTGCTTCGACTAAGGTCCCTGTACTATTAAAAAGTTCGAAGGACTAAAAACAAAGTTCGAGGAGAGCTCCCCACGATCTCCTCTAGCTGGCGTGGGAGGCCTGCTCTCACCAGGGAAGGACTCCGGTATTGGTTACTTTTCGGCCGCGGCGGCCACGCTAGCGCCAAACAGGCAGAGCCTCGTTGCCCACCGCCGCCCCCTCAGACCCAGTACCCCTGGAGTAGACTGGGGACCCGGGCCCGGCCTGCAAGCTCGCCGGCCAGAGAGACCGGCTGACTGAGCCTGGCCGTTCCTTGCCACAAGCTGGGGACGAACACACCTGCGCAGGGCCCGGCGGCTCAGGACACGCCGAGCCAAACCACACGATCCCGGCTGTTCCACAGAAGACTTCTGGCAACTCACCTGAAGCCCCACAGCGTCTATTCCGGGCCGCACGTGGACCCCAGGCCCGCAGCTCTTACACGCCTGGACAAGCCCAGCTCCGGCTGCCCACTTATTGGCTCGCTGAACAGCAGCGCCCGCCTAAAACCTCTTCTGATTGGCCGAACCCCTGCCTTATTGGAGTTGGGGTGAGACGGCAAAAGGGGAGGGGATTCCGGAAAGGGGTGTGACTTTTTAATGTGCTGGAGGAGGAGTTGAGCTCTTCTGGCGTCCGCCGGGATCCTCATCCAGGTCCCATAGGTCGGGAGGTGAGCTGTTGTAAACGCCATGTCACCAAAGGCGGAAAACTAAACCCACCACATTGTAGTCAATTCTTACGTCTAATGACTCCATAAGACAGAGTAGAACTGCCCCATTGGGTTTCCAAGGCTCTAATCATTATGAAGTCGATTGCCAGTTGGGACTGCTGACCTTTCGACCTTTCTGTTAGCAGTCAAGCTCTGAACCGTTGCTCAGTAAGTCGTCGTCGTCACATCCCCCCATACCCCCCACTCCCCCACATACACTCCCCGTCGCTTACAGAGTCAAGTTAGCAATATCCCTACTTCTCCTCCAAGGGTTGTGGGGATTCAGTGAAATATATACAGGGTGGACACTAAATGAAGGTTTTTATAAGTCAAGTTTACTCTTTTGCCACTGTTCTTTCATTTATCCACCTGCAGAACTTTATGTAATTATTAAGTTTCTACTTTGGGGTTTGGGGTATTGGTGATTGACAAAGTAAAAGGAGGTACAAGTCTATTTAAAGTAAATGCAAAGAGTTTTATTAATGGCAAAAAGGACTTTTGAAGATAGGAAACAGAGTCAAGTTAGTCTTTGACAAAGTGCTCCAAGGGCCTGCAG